CAAAGAAATATACACTTACTCAAGTGACGAAAGATCCGTTACGGACTGCACCAGCGACAATTTTAAGAACATATTGAAAATCAAACTGTAAATATTATGTAATAGTAAATTCTAATACTCTTATATTGGGCAGCAGAGTGTATAAACGGCCGAGAATTCAGTAAGCAAAATGTTTCGCGCGAACGAAACTTATGAAATCGGCTTTCGAGAAAATAGAATTATAATACCTTTGCGATGTAAATAAATAGTAAAAACAAAAACAAATTGCTAAATTACCTTTTCAGATGATAACACTCGAAGGGAAATGTTGCGAGTTTCAACCAGCACGCCGAAATCCTCTCACAAAGTGGCAGTCTAATTATGTAAAACAAATTGCTTGTTGCTTTTTTATACTTTTATGCTAATTAGCATATTGCTGTACGTCAAGTGGTGTTGTATAGAAAATCGCCTGATCGTACGTGATCATGGGCACGAATGTTTCAAACAATGAAATATTACGAGTGACAATAAATAGCTATAAATCAAGAAATACACGAGCAAGTTCTTGCGAATTTTTATTTCTTATATTGTCTACAAAATTGCCCAAACGCTCTATTTTGTACGCGTAACGTACTGCATAAAACGCTTCAATGGTTTCCAAGCTGCTCACATGCTCTTTTTGAATCAATCAGAAAAATAATTAGTCGGACTCAAACTAGAACCTTAAGTTCACTACAAGTGCGCTTGAAGCGCACTTGAAGTGCCTGGATTTGTTGGTAAGGAACGGCGTTCACACACGTATAAGTGAGCAGTCTGGAAGGGAATTTACTTTATTTTGGGGGTTCAATTAAGCGGGAAAACTCTGCCATACGTGAGTTTATATCAAAACTTCTGCGAAGACAAGGATCGTAAAACTATTCAGCTGAACTATAACAAGCCGTGATTTTCCGTATTAAAGATCATCTTTTTATAAAATAGGAGAGTCCAAACGTTTGGATGAAATAATACCACTTCTTTAAAATAAACACATAATCTTGCTCTCCGACGCGAATGTTCCAATTCGATCCAGGGCACAGCAGCGAGCTTTCTCAAAAATTAAGCGTGTAAAGTGTGCGCGAGTATCAGCCCTCGAACTTCGTTCTCAAGCTGATATTTGTTTTTTGGCAAATAACATTTCCGCTGTTTACATACAAATCTCAATCACATCATATAATTGTTTAATATCGGTGAATGCCAATGACTTCATGCCCAGGCTTAATAGCACCAGAACTAACATTATTATGTCACTACAGTCGAAGCTTTTCGGAACCCACCATCTAGGGAATTCGAAAAATGTCCTCGTGACCGTTTGCTTAAAAAGAGCGCTCACTCTTAAGCAACTACACGATGAGACAAACGGGTCTGGTCGCTTACGGGAGCTTTAATGCTAATTAAAATTAAAATTGCTTTTACTATCTCTTACTAAGTTATTTTATTCCGAGCGACGATGTTGAAACTTTTAAAAATGGACGAGTGACCAGTATAAGATATATTATAACATTTAAAAGACGTTCTCTGGTTATTAAAATGGTTTGAAAATTAAGAGATTTCGATTACCAGTCTGCAATCTTTGAGAAATAGTGATTAAAAAGCGCTATCGTTAAAATATTTATAAAAATATATACGTGGTTAAAAGTGTGAAGTAGAAAAAATTTCGCTAAAAACAAAACGATAGTTGTGCAGAAATGAAATGCTTATATGAAGTTCATAAAAGAATAGAATATTGCCTAGGTAATGTTTTGAGTTATTGTCCGATTCAATTGTGATTGCGGTATGCCAGGATTTCAGTGTTTTCCTCACGCGAAAATTCCCTTAGCACAAGTTGTAACAGCGAAAATCATATGAACTGAAAACAGTGAAAGGTTAAATTATATAATTTTCTAGAGTTCTTTCCGTTGTTGATGCCTTTGTCCCCAATGTTTTGCCTCTGAGAAGAATATATACAAACAGCGATTAAGCGTGATTCAAAATCGTTGCAGAATGCAAGGTAGATGTGTTGTTGGAGGGAGTTGCAGTACAGCAAGCTTAGGAGAGAGCTATTCTCTTAATTCAATTCCTCTATCTCGATGGCACTCGTCAGTCCAGAAGCGAGAAAAAGACGAAAGAAGTGTGCTGCCTTATACGAATTCGGCAAGAGGGAGAGAGGGAGCCATTTAGAGCAGTTCTTCGATCTCGGGTTCGCCGCTATTGTAAAAACCAAGAGATTTTCATGGCCTGTATATTCTTTTCTAACATCTAGTACAAAGTTCGACATTGTTAAGGCAGAGAAGACACGAATTTGGGATAATCTGGGAGCCATCTGACTATTCTATTGACACGAGGTGAGTTAATTATATGGCAAATTAATCGCTTCGCATTTTTTGTCCTCGAAATAGAAAGTTTTCTAAACGGATAGTCAATGACACGTACGTCTTACAACGGTGCGATTAAGATTAGTGAGGCTTGAGCCTTCGAACTGCAGAACCAGCTATGCATTTATTTTTGGATTTTATTTACAACCGCACGCAAGCTACACGCACGAAGTCCACAATGCCGCTGAGTTTCTTTAAAGGCCCTTCCGCAATTGTTTTGTTTTATCTCAGTTACAGAATTAAAACGAATCAAGCATTCATAAGTATATAAGGAAAGTAAAACAAACCATTTAGATTCGACTTTACGGAAGGAGATTGTTGTGCTGAAAGGAAAATGTGCCTGTTTTCGAATCAAACACTCAGGTTGTTTTACTTTTAAAACAGAAGAACAGTGAGGGAGAAATGTATTTATTTAACTGATACGTACCATACTGAACCTTTTGTCAAGATCTTTTCGAACGATTTTTAATTACTAGTACGAAAGATGCAAATTTATGTAACTCGCAATGTTCGCACACACTAATATTGACTTTGTATAATACGGTCGGTCGGCAATAACGAAGCGAAAAGGCGGATTTTTCCACGAAATTTTTCGTGTTCATTGACATTTTTATAACTCTTCAATAGCTATAAGTTAACTCTTTAGCCATGGTTTTAACCTTTATAAGCTAAATAGGCCGGCAAATTGTCGATCGTGACTTCCCTGACTTGCAGTGTGTGGCGGGCTCAACTGGCGACCCGCACTTCGAAATCGAAAAAAATATATACACCGAGCCGTCCTAATCGTAGCTAGACTCCGAATTGTATTGCTAGATGATACAGTTCTTTCATTGAGAAGCGAGGGCGCCAGACTTGCTCTTCCATATTGACACTTGCAGTAACAAAAGCATAGTCATAGTGAGGAGGTAAGGTTTGTCCATGACAAGATAAAGAAGTTCGTATCAACTTTGGACTCTCTAGATCTGTTCCTGCACAGGCTTCCCGTATGCGACAGCTTGCGTATATAGAGAGTTGTATGGGAAAATCACCGATCGTAAAAAAAATTGTGTAAATAACTAACACATGTGAAATAAAGTTTTCCTGCCTCAAATGTGTCGTGAACCCTCGGGTGTCAGCGCATGACTTGGTTTAAATGGACCAATCAGAGTTGAGGATGAAACCAGCTACTTGACCTTTGCGCAACGGCCGTTGGCGCGGACCTGCCCACACTGAGCATATCAGGAAAGCCGAAGAGGCTAACTTTAAGCCAAATTTTGCGTTCTTCGCGAGTCTTTCGACCGCCGAAGCACATGTATGTGGAGTGAAATTTATTGGGCTTTATGGAACTGTTGGTTTTATTGCGATTCGGGACTTTTCCTTTTGAGGAGAAAGCGATTTGTGGAGTGACGTCTGGCCAGCGATCGATGGAGTGGTCTGCCTTTCTATTCTTTTAGAAGGAGAGACAACAGTTTCGAACAACTCCACTAAACGGCGTCAGAATGGCTTTAAAATCGGCACAAGAGACAAGTACGCGACACATTTGAGGTAGGAAAACTCTATTACAAATGAGATAGTTATTTAAACAATTTTTTTACGATGGGTGATTTTCCCATATGATTCTCTATATACACAACCTGTCGCATACACCACGTATTTTGAGCTTGGGAAGCCTGTGGTTCCTGTTGATATAAACGTAACAAAACCTCAGTGAAACTCCACTCTTTCCATGGTCTTTCCATGGTCTTTCCATGGCCGCGTCTACTATTAAACTGTGTATATTTCCTTAATTAAGACATCAAAGTATAAAAACACTTGCAGAGCGTTAAATAACACACTCTTGTAAGAGAATCGGCGTTTCGTTCAATTTCGCTATGGTTAAGAAGAGGAAAACAAGAATAAGATTTTTTACCTTATTTGGCTAAATTTTACAACGTTATTAGTCCTTTTATTGTTGGGTTGTGTTGTCATGCATTTACTGAATTCACATTTTGTCGCAATCACCAACACAAGCAAAATAAAAAGACTATTCTTGATTGTCTGCAACAATTTAGCGGATGTTAAACCTGCTAAGCAGGAATGGCGTAAAAAATAGAACCTAGGATAAGTACACGAAAAATTTAAGAGACCATGTGGAATTTAACTCGCAATTGTATACCTTTTCAAAGAATGCCAAATAAATTTGCTTAAACGTTTTCCAGTTTAAATCTACTGTTTTAGCAAATCTATAACACAAACAGATCGAAAAAAGATGCTCTGAGCACTGGTTGATAAACTCAGTGACAACGAAAAGAAGGTATATTCCTGCGGCTCGTGTTTTCTACATTTCCTTCCTGTTCTCGAATGCCCGTTGTGTCTTATCACAGTGTAATACAAGGTTCAGGCTTCTTTATTTGTTAAATATAAGGCTCCGTAAATAATGTGCTGTACTAATTAACTGCTGTCGTTTTATTATAGCTGGTTGGCCATTATCCCATTGCAGGCCAACGGTTTCGACAAAAGAAACGTTTGAACTCCGTCTGAATATCCCTTTTAAGAAAAGCGTACACAAAGGGGTTAACAGCCGAATTCGCTACTAAGAACAGAAACCTGAAGTCGTTATTGATGTAACTGCTCCAGGATTCTTTGGACACATTCAAAAGATGAAGAAAAGACGAGGTCATCTCAGTGATGTAGCAAAGCACAAATAGACCAACAACGATACTGATCAGCTTAGCTGAGGACATATTGCGTTCTCGGTGTTGCCTTAGGGAGTCAAAATTGAGCCTCGGGTGATTGAAATGTAACTGAGATTGTACAGCCATTGTCCTGCGGGTATGTCTGCGCGAAATGTACAACACACGCCATGTAGCCACTACCATGACAACGCAGGGAATAAATTCGAGAAATGTCAATAATAAAGCAATGAAAAATTTATCGCATATATTCCTGGTTTCTGGTGAGGACGAGAATATCCATGTAAAAGGAAGTAAGCAGACGAAAAAAGGGAGAGTCCATGCTGAAAATATAAAGCGAGGAACTCGGCGCCATGTCATCAGAGTGACGTATCTAAGTGGGAGAGCCACAGCAACGAAGCGATCCGCTGTGACAACACACAAGTTGCAAGCCGATGAGTAGAAGAAGAAATAATGAGACGAAGCCAAAATTCGTAAATTGTGGTATCCTGAAATATTTTTGCGCACACAGGTAAATGGTATAGTGAAGAATCCAACACAAAAATCAGCCACAGCGAGAGAAACAATGAATGCATTGGTTAATGAATGAAGCCGCTTTTTCACAGCGATAAAGTAAATCACAAAACCATTTCCTAGAAGTCCCAAACCACTTAGAATACATGTTAGAGCGAAGATCCAGCTGGTCATATTGAGTGCGTTGTTAAGCAGCGGGAGTGTGTCAACCCGGTTACTTGCCGGTTATACATCTAAATTGTAACTGCCTGTTCGGCGAGGTGTTAGTTGCTGATAAAGATGGGCGAAACCTTTTGTCGTTCGTATTTATACATTGAATTTTAGTTTCCAAATGAATATAGTTTTCTCCTGATTGATCGGCTACGAGTCACTGCCAATTTATTTTTTACTGTTGCTTTACTTGGTGTTTGTTTCTTATCAACCTGCTTTTGTGTTGTAAATTGAAAACTTAGCGAAAACTGTCAGATTGTCAGGTTTTTTGAAAGAAAGGTAAACAATTATTAATTTACACGGAAAACTGTTTCCATGTATATTTAAAATACTTTTCCTTTTCGACATCAATCGACGAAACCTGATCACGGCGCGCTTGTCTTGTACAATAAACGGGGAAAACGAAATCGATATTAAATGCAAAGTAAATGAGCAAAGTTATCTGAGTGTGTGTGAATGTGTGCTTCGTGAACAGCTGTCGCTTTTCTTTGCAGGATAAAGCATTGTTAGGCGTTTTTATCTTTTTGACGTAGCTTTAAATAGCCCTTTTGCTTGTTAACTCCAAACCCCTCTTTAGCACTTTCCTTGTTGTCAATTTTTTTCTTTTGTTCGTTTTTTTGTGACACACTCGGCTATCGCCTCGTGTGCCACTTTTCTGTTCTTACCGCATTTTGACGTCATCTGTGATCTATTATGAACAGGCGCACGCAACATGGAATATTTGTTAAATTTATTGTTTCTCTCGTTGGCGCTAATTTTCGGGTTGAATTTTTTAAAGTACCATTTTCTTAGCTGTGCAACAATTTTTCAGGGTACCACAATTCTCGAATTTTAGCTTCATTTCATTATTTCTTCTTTTATTCATCGGCTTGTAATTTGTGTGTCGCAACTGCGGACAACTCACTCTGACAACATTGTGCAGAGTTCCTCGCTTTATATTGTCAGCAAGTGCTGTTCTGTTTTTTTTCGTCTGCTTTCTTCCTTTTAAAACATTTAGCGATAAAAAATTACGATAAAACATTTCGTAAAAGCATATTAAAAGTTTGTCGACGACGCTTCGACGTTTGGCCAATCTCAGTATGAGGCCTATTTTATCGGCAACTGGAACGTATAACTACAACTTGGCTAAATGGTTAGAAGAAAAACCCAAACCACTCTCTCTAAATGATTTTACGATTACCGATGCCATTTGCTTCTCTGACAAAATCCGCAACTCACCCATCGGCGAAGATGACATATTGGCGCCTTATGATGTCACAGCCCTCTTTGCTGACGTTTCTTTATAATTAAATGAGACTATCAACATATTAGTCGAAAAAGCGTTTGCCGGTGCTTGGTTTAACCAAACTTATGGCCTTAACCTGCAAAAGTATCAGCTCACAAAATTCCTCAAGATCGATCACCACTACTAACCAGCTTCAGTTTCCAATTCAATGGCCAGCTGTATGAACAAATCGACGATGTGGCTATGGGTTCACCCTTTGGCCCTCTAATGGCCAATGTCTTCCTCTGTCATCTTGAAGACAAGCTTACTCGCGATAGTGTGATGCCCACGTTTTACAAGAGATATGTTGATGACACCTTGGCCAGAATGCCCAGCGCCGATGCTGCAGTTGGTTTTCTCACCACTCTGAATAGCCTCCACCCCAGCCTGTCTTGTACGATGGAGCTTCCTGTTGACAACAAGATCTCCTTTATCGGCATTGAAATAATCAAGAACCGAACAAAGATCGACATACAAGCATATAGTAAGCCAACGGCAAACACTGGCTTGTTGCTGCATTTTCAAAGCCACACAGACAAGCGCTATAAAGATTGCTTGCTAAAAACAATGATCCATCGTGCATATGCTCTATCCTCAACGCCTGAAGCCTTCGATCAAGAATGCACCAGACTACGTTCCATCTTTACTCGACTTGATTATGCCTTGGCAGTAATGAATTCTACCATTACCAAAACCATTCAGAGCTTTTCATTTGGCACGAGAGAGAAAAACAAGGAAGGCAGCAGCGTTGTGCGAGTGATTTTGCCCTTCAAAGATCAAACATCAGCTAACGCAGTTAAAAGGCAAATGCGTGATCTCAGTCACAAGATTGGTACTACACTACATCCCGTTTTTATTAGCAGAAAATTGGAACAAGACCTCAAGCTCAGAGAAATCAAGCCTCCAATCGTAAATCAACAATGCGTAGGCTTTTACATGTGATCTGTGTGATTCGGATTATGCCGGCTTTACAGCCCGAAACCTTCACCAACGTATTGTTGAACATAAAAACTCTGCGATCGGTAAACACTTTTCGACAGCCCATGGGGANATCTGTGTGATTCGGATTATGCCGGCTTTACAGCCCGAAACCTTCACCAACGTATTGTTGAACATAAAAACTCTGCGATCGGTAAACACTTTTCGACAGCCCATGGGGATACAAGCCTCCACAAAGAAAGCCAATTCCGCATTCTAAAAAAGTACCAAGGAAAATTTGATTGTCTTGTCTACGAGATGCTTTACATCAAGGAGCGTAATCCTAGTCTCAACAAGCAGACTGATTCCATTCGCGCAAAACTCTTTGTTTAAAAGAACATTCCATCACGTGATTGTCTTTTTAGTATTTAAACTTTTTTTATCATTCACTCTTTGACTTGATAATGAGGTTAGCCAAACGTCGAAACGTCGTCGACAAACTTTTATTATGTTTTTACGAAATGTTTTATCGCAAATTTTTTATCGTTAAATTTCTTCCTTTTACATGGATATTCTAGTCTTCACCAGACACGAGGAATATATTCCATATTTTATTTTTTTTTTATTGCTATCTTATTGACATTTCTCGAATATATTTCCTGCGTTGTCATTGTAGTGGCTATACATGATGTGTTATGCAACACGCGCCCGATGTTCAAATTCGACACTGAGAGAACATCGAGAACGCAAAATGTTTTCAGCTTAACTGATCACTATCATCGTTGTAAAATTAGATAAATGTCAGGTAAACCCAAATTGCACAGTAAGTCGTAAATCAAATTTTGCCAACGTCCAACAACAACAACAACAACAACAACAATAACAACAACAACAACAACAGTCAACTAAATTTTCGTGCGCGAAACTATCTCAAAGTTCTGCTTTGTTAATAACCTTTCAACATTTTTCATGTATAAGATTGAAAGTCATTATTTTCTTTTTCAAAATAAAACATTGATATAGCGGTGATTCGCTAATGAATAGTAAGGAAAAGAAAATGTGGCCTTTCAGCTTCTGAAAAAAACCATTTACAGAAATTCTTGTGAAGCCCGTGCTTAGTAGCTTAAAGGCTAGCTACGCCCCTGAATGTTTGTCACTGACTCACATTTTAATTTCCAGATGTTACTAACTGACGCTTCGGTAACTCTCATGCCTTTATCAGTTATTGGAAACTGATGAGCGCTTAAGAGTTAACCTAAACATCTGAGTAGCAGCTGCAAAATATGAGACATCCGTTATGGGTCTATGACGAAAAAATTTATCAACTTTTTCAACGATGTCAACTGTATGTCTGTTCAGTGATAGATCACAGAAGACGTCAAAATGTGGTAAGAACATCGGTTACACACTCGGCTATCGCCTCGTGTGGCACGTTTTTGTTCTTACCACATTTTGACGTCATCTGCGATCTATTACAGAACAGACACACGGAAAAATGGAATCTATTTGTTAATTAGAGAATAGCTTAAAGAAAACAAGCGCGCTGTTTCTATTAAAGATTATTCGCTCTCGATTTTTCTATCGCGTGATAGTTGTTTTAATATAAATCTACTAGTCGTTCAAAACTTTATCTACTTTAGCTTCGAAAACACCAAGAAGCGGCCGTCATTTTGTTAACAAGGGCACACTGCTACGCTGCTCACTATCTATCACAGAATGGATAGTGAGTAGCGTAGCCAAACAGAGAACGGAATTCGTAATAGAACGCTAGTAGACTTATACTAAAACTCGATAGAAACACCAATCAGCGCACGTGTTTTTATCGGGATATTTTCTAAATTGCAATCAAGCACCCCTTAAGGTACCGGGAAATTGTTACAAAACAGCGAATAAAAAAGGCTGTGCTCGTAGCCTGGATCATCACAGCGTTTTTGACAATTGCCAAACTTATCATGGCTACAACACACAGTAAAACAAAATTTTATTCAGTAAGCTGGACATTGACCGGTGTCTAGTATGCTTTGTCTGCCTTGGCATACATTCTCAGAAACACAGCGTCAGAAAAAAAACGCTTGCAAACCGAATAAATGACGCAGGAAGGAGCTAAACGAGTTAAGAAAGAAAACAAGGCATCCCACACCTTAGCAATCATTTTATGTGCGTTAATATTAACACCTGCCCTCAGTAACGATTCTTGTTGTTGTGGTAGCAGCTGCTTCACATGACACATTAAACTCGGGTGTAACAGTTATTTTCTCGAGTTGTTTTCTCAAGTTTTGTTGGGTTCTCTTGTTAACCCGTGTAAGAAAAAACGTCGACAGGCTTTCCTTGAGTTCTTTTAATTTAGGCATGACAGCCAGAAAACAGGACACCAAACATTGAGTTGATAGAAATACAACGTCATCGACCTGAAATTCAGCCTTCCGCCCCTCGCAAAGCTTTTTCAATGGTCGTAGTAAAGCGAGAACCAATTTTGCTATCATCCAGTAATCATAACGTCGACGAAATTTTCATATTTTCACACCAATACTAAGGAGCTTACATTGGTTGCCAGTTCATTTTAGGATTATTTTCAAAATATTGTTGTTAACTTACAAAGCTCTGAATGGACTGACCCCTGATTACATTAGAGACCTACTGCGATTTAACATTTCTTGTCGGACACTAAGATCTTCCAACAACAGGTTGCTTGATGAGCCTAGAGCAAATCTTAAAACGTATGGGGAAAGGGCTTTTTCCGTGGCGGCACCAAGGCTCTGGAATAAACTACCCCTCCAGATCAGACTTTCATCATCAGAGGCAGTTTTTAAGGCTAATCTTAAGACTTATCTTTTTTAAGTATGCATTTGATTTGTAGTTTTTACCTTTTATTTGTAGATTGTATTATATAGCGTATTTAATTCTTAAGATTTTAACTTTTAGGATTTAGGATTTTAGGTTTTTAAAGAATTAGGATTTTAATTTTAAAGTATTGTAAAGCGCCATGGACAATTAGTGGAAAATGGCGCTATATAAATGTATATTTATTTATTTATTTTATTTATTTATATTGAGGAAAAAGATAAAAAATCTTGCAAACAGTACTTCGTTTAAGCATCTAGTATGTGCAAGATCTAAAGATGGTATTATATAAAATAAAAATGTCCGAGCTCTTGGAAAAACTTTCATATTGTCGTCATTTTCTTTTTGTCTTGTGTCCTGGCTAATTCCTGTACGGCTTTCTCCCAGGCCTTCACGGTCAATTGATTTTGGTGGATTGATGGTCGTGGCGCTCGCCATGATGAAATTCAATAATTAAGTCGCTGCTTTGCTGATCTGAAAGCAAGGTCTAAGGCCTGATCGATTTGACTTGTTTTTTTTTTTTTAGATTTCTTTATATATTAAAGAGAATTATAGAAACGGTTACTTAGTCGTTGTTTAGTAAATACCTTAGAAAGCTACTCTTGAACCCGAAATTTAAGAAATTTTGGTATATTTTTGTGCACTTTGATGGAGCGCTATAGTACATGTGGTTCAGATGTGGTTTGAAAGCGCCGATGCTTCTTACTCGATATAAAAACGAGTCGGCTAAATTACTTCGAGAAAAGAGCATGTGCGAAATTAGGGGAAACTCTGAAGCGAAAAAGCATAAAACCAATTGAAAGGCTGACCGGACGGCCGAAAAGGGTAAATCGCCCAATATTTCGGTTAAACAGGACTAACCTTCTTCAAGGGCTACATTGAGGCTATGTAGGTATGGATAAAACGGTTACAAAATTTGAAATGATTCTAAAGGAAATATGTGACATGAATGGTTAAAAAATTGAGAAAAAGGAAACGTGTACTAAAGCGGATACATAAAAAATAGATTAAATTTTGTCAGGCCTGTTTAAGCCAGAAGGTTCAAAGGGCTTGCCCTTGGAGATCAGAAACGCTTGTCTTGCCTTGCGAATAGCGTCCCTATTTGAGCTGACGAGTTCTAGAGGAACGAGTTCTATGTTGTCCATAGAATGGGCAAGAAGGGTAAAGTGATCTGAAACGGCGGTGGGTTGATCAATGTGTTGGTGTGTGATGGCTTTCTCGATTGCGCGTCTGTGCTCACCAAATCTGTCGCTGGGATGACGGTTGCGCGTGATATTCCCAAGCGCGCCCAGCCTGGGTACGAGGCAGTTCCACGAAAGACCTTGCGCGCTTTTCTTTTTTCCTATTTAGGAATTCTGTGCTATGATGGACTTTTGCGGGTTTTGTTTGTCTGTTTTTCTTTTTTAGGACGAGCTGTAGACTAGACTCTCCGAAAAAAAGAATAAAACTGGCCGACAGCCGCCCGCGAGATGCCTGCGAAATGTACTTGCAGTCCCATTGACCTGTCAAATGTCAATGTCGTTTCCATGGTGAACAGTCATAACCGACGTTCCAGTACTTCGTGTAAGATCACTTTGCGAACGAGCGGGGTAGTTTGTGTGTAGCAGAAATGGGTTAGTCAGATTTGCGCTCAATATGGTCGAAATGACCGAACTTTTAATGGAAAGGAAAGCAGACTATATTCAGGTATGCTGTTGAATTTTTGTAGTCACGCCAACGCCATCTGAGCGAAGTTCTTCGCAATGATACATGAGGGGCAACCATGGTATGCGATGGCCTTTCACCTTGGTCGCCATGATTTTACCGTAGTAAGTTTGACTGTTCCTTCCGAAAATGACAAAGAAACCCGATTTTTTGGCTTTAAGATGGTGTTTAGGTGTCAAAGTATTTGATTATAATTTCCTTGTTTCCGGCTCATCGCACCACGTCGATCGAGAATCGAAAATTGCGATCGGTTGTCCGGCTTCGATTCAAAAACTCGTTTTTGTAGCGCTATGATTGTGTTTTTAAGAATCGTAAACTTACTTTATTAAACTATTTTCGCCTGGTTTCGTCCTTTGTATGAAAACCGGTCGTGGCAGAGGTCCTCCTCGATCAAAAGAAAGGTGAACAGATGCTAAATTCTTGCGAGGACAAGCTTATATATTGTCGCTCTTCGGTGTGTTGTACAAAGGATTAATTCTTGTTTGCTCTTTCGATGGTTGTAAACTTGCAAGAGAACGGGCAGTGCTCAATAGTGCGAGATCGAAATCGCTTTTTGATGAGGAAGAGGTAATGAAAAACAGAATACATTGTAAGCGTCCAGATCCTTTTAGTTTTCTTGTTAATGAAACTAAAAGTGGTGTAATATTTTGTTGTTGACGCGGTAAACATTGTTCTTGATAATTTTGTCTGATAGTTGAGATTACATCGTATTTGACAGCTGTTTGAGTGTATGACTTTTCTTGTTACATTGCGCGGCAAAACATGTATTTTACACGGTTCTATAGAACGAAATTAACTATAATAGCGACGAAATCCACTTCTCTGTTATGCACTGTAGTTAAGTACATGAGTGAAGAGTTTTGTCATGTTAATTTTTCAACACAATTGTTTTACGACGCTAAAATGAAAAAATATTGGTTTTTACTTAAGTGTATTTAAAGCTCCAGAAATTTAGATAAGGACATTGATTGTTTCATGAAACTCGAAATCCAATGTTCCAATTTTTTTCTGTGTACAGACATGAAATTTTGGAAATTTATAATAGCCCAGTACTTTTTTGACTTTGAATTATCGATATTAAAAAGTGATGAAGCCCCCGATGCAACACTGTCAGTGAGACAGATCACAGTCATTAGATTTCTACAGAGGAGTTTATACCAAAACTAAAACAAAAAGAGCAAATAGCAGGTTTGTTTTGGTTCATGAATTTCAAGATTCTATATTTAGTCTCTAACTCAGCTCTTAAAAAAGTGTGTGCAGGGGTGTAATTCAAGAGGTTAATGTTTCCATGGAGTAGTAGTGAATTGGTACATTTATTTTCCAGCTTTTTGCTGGCTTGAAAAGCTGAGGGCTTTTTTCGAGGAACTCAAATAAAATTTTAATTAGAAAAAATCTCACGGCATGGTAATATTTTGAATACAGTTAAGAAGAACTTAGTTAGACTTTAGCTCTCAAGCTTGAAGTTATCCATATTTCAATTGAAACAGATGTTTGTATCAGCTAAAAACACAATAACACATGCTTTTTAAAGCGTGTGTTAAAAAGCATTCTTATGAGGTTTGACATAAACTGACTTGAGAATGCTTGAGGATTTAATCACAGGGTCACTTAGAGAAATGAACTAAATTGAGTTGTTTCAAATAGTATTCCAAATGTTACCATGCTACGAGAAGATTTTTAGTAAATAATTTTTGTACTTATTGCTCAAACTTTGGGCAGAATCCGTTTTAAATCTCTTTATACTTGGGGTGCAGTTAAAACACGAAATGGCAAAATGGCAAATCGCACTACGAGCAAGAGTCAATGTGGGATGTGGGTGTCTGTAAGTGTTAAAATAACAATATTATTATTGACAGCTAAAGTCAGTGATGTTTAGGCTAAGCTGAGTGCTACATGTATTTAGGCCATTTAATCATTTTGCCATTTTGTGTTTTAAGACGCTGTTATACTTGTTGGCTTATAGGTATTTAGAACTTTTTCCTAGGGCTGACCCTATGACAAAGTTTAGATGCACACTTCCCAACCTGATCTTTTCATCTGAAGAAAATTTTTATCAATTAAACTATGACAATCTTAGCACAGTCAAAAGCTGTAGTGCTGGGAATTCCTTCCAATGAGTGATGCCTGTTTACAGTCAAAAGTTGTAGCACTTGAAGTGATACATGAAAGGTCATTGAGTATTGTTTTATAAGAACCCCTTAATTACCTCTGTGTGTTGTGAGTTAAGCTACATAAATTGTTTGTTGCTTCTTTAAGGTTCATGATAAAGTGTCTCGTACAATGGTGAAAGATCCAATAATCCTAAATCACAAACCACTCCTAAATGGCGACTTTGAATTTCTTGGACGGCAGCATCGTTCATCATCAGAGGTTTGTGCTTTTCATTGCGTGTATGCATGAGTTCCAGTTTGCATTCATGTGCCAGTCAACACTGGTACAAAGTTCTCATCATCATCTTCATGGAATCCTCTTTGTCCCATGGGGGAAATACCCCTATAGGGAAACCACTATTGCCTTCTATTACCGTTGCTCCTCAGCCACCCTTTTGGTCTTGCACCAATTCATTGTTTCCATCAGGTCTTTTAATTATCAGTGTTATAGTAAAAAGTAAAGTAAAGTCTGCATGCGAGCCAAGTGGCCCATCAGGCCGGAGCTTATCCCGGTTTCTGTAGCATGAAGCGACTAGGAGTATTTCTACTCCCCCCTGGAYGGGATGCTAGTCCATCGCAGGGTTACCCCCAGCATTAAGTTCGCCAGTACCCATTTATACACCTGGGTGGAGAGAGGCACTGTGAGAGTAAAGTGTCTAGCCCAAGAACACAACACAATGTCCCCAGCCAGGGCTCGAACCTGGACCGCTCGATCCGGAGACGAGTGCACTAACCATGAGGCCACTGCACCTCCCACTCAGTGTTATAGTACTCCAAGATTATTGGATGCTTGTGCACCACACAATTCTAGGTCTCCACGTTCCTTTGTGCCTTGTGGGTTCCAATCCACTGAGAGGCACGCTAGGTCCCCCTCATCACACCTTAGTGTATGCCCAATCCATTTGCGATGTCTTCTGTTAATGGTGGTGTTGATAGGCTCTTGACCCGTTCTTAACTCGATACATAAATCTCTGTTGGTAATCACCTCTGTTGGTAATCACCTCAGGCCAATACACTCTCAGAATTCTCCTCAGACACTTGTTGATGAAAGTTTGTACTTTCTTTGTTTCTATATGCTCCTTCTGGAAAATGATTTCAGTCTTTGTTTCATGGCATCACTCCACTTTGTCTGTGAGTAGTGTGTTTCATGTCCTTATTAATTTAGTTGCCTGAGAGTAAGGCAGCTGACAATACTAGAGAAGAAAACAAATTCTCATCATAATCACTTGTTAAAAACACTGTGACAGCATCATAAGCTTGTGATTACTACAGTGAAAACATTTACTCTGCTTTGGTATCTTGTTTCTTATATTGCTTGTTTATGTTTTTGCAGTGTTCATCAGATTCAAATGTGGACACATTGTTGGAAGAGGCAGACAAAATTCAGAGCTCAAAAAATGGCTTTAAAAAGGTAATAGTTTGCACGTTTTTCATTTTGTAAGTTTTTTTTTTTAAATTGTGGCTAAATGTAGTTTAGGCAAAGTGTGAGTCAAGCCAATGCTGCCTCACAAGGTGACCATGCTCTGTGGGGTCTCACAGTGGTTTTGCAGGGATTAACATGTGTTTTGGTTGTCAGCTGAGAACGTGCAGTTTTTCTTGAGTGCCATTCGTGCCTGTAGCGTGCTTTTGCTCTGACACCTCCCTCCTTTTTGCTGGTGATGGTAAGTATTTGGGATGGTAATTATCTGTCAGTGTGACGGTGCCTGGTGGTTGCCACTCTCAGGGATGCCATGGATACCTGCATGCTCTGCTCGAGGCTCATATCTCAGGCACCTTTCGCAAGCTCATCAATTGGCTATGAGATAAAGTACAATCATGTTGTAGCCTTGAACTTGGCATGAAAAAATATTTTGGACAAAATCTGCCCTTGGAGGTCCTGTTAATAGGGCCAAGTTTTCATGGTCTGTTGGTGACCTTATTAATGGGGTTTTGCTGCAACACTTAATACATGGTTAGCATGAGATGTTGATACTACTGTATGGCCTTTTAAGAAGAAAGAGTTTCATTTTTGTAACAAATGAGTGACTTCTTTTTCTGATGCTCTCAAAATATACATGGTTAAAACATTTTCTGTCTGTTTCTATTGAGTTTTAAAACTTGTATGGAAGTTTGGGAGAACTTGAAAAAGCTGTTGGAACGTTCACCTACAGTTCATGATCACGTTCCGACAACATTTCTACAGTACATGTAGTTTTCCCAAACTTCCACTGTTTTTTTTATAGCTTGACCGAAATGGAGAAAATATTATATATTTCTTAAATGACAGCAGGTAAAATACTACTGGTAACATGTACATGTATGTACATATGTGTATATACATGTATATGCGTACAATGTACCTTCAAGTTCCAAATGTTAAACTGAACAATTTTGTATGGAAAAGATGAAAGAAATGATGAAAATGATGAAAAAAATCTTGGAGTACTATAACACTGATAATTAAAAGTACAGTGTGTACTGTACATGTAGCCACTGGATTTCTGTTTTCTTAGATTATGAAGCCACCATATTTCAGAACCTTGGTATCTTCTTATGATATTGTCCTGAAATTTTGTTTCTCACTGGCTCAGTACAGTGTAGTTACTCATTTTTGGAATTTTTTTAAAGTAGTAGTGGGACTTCAGATAGTAATTGTCACACTCTACTTTGTTGAATAGAATGCACCAGCCAAGAAGCAAGTTCGTTTTAACATGGAAAGAAATAAAGAACACTTTTACAGTTATGCTCAGGGATCAGATGACGACATTTCTTGTGACCTTATGAGCAATGTTAATTTTGTGGATTACAAATTTAATGATAACAGTATGTATGAGAATGATGAGGATGATGATGATGATGATGATGAGGACGATGAGGACTCTGAAGAAGACGAGGAAGATGAAGAAGACTATTCAGACCACACTGATCGGGAGTCCAGTGAAGATGATTCTAGAGTGGACAAATTTGGATATTTAGTTGATAAGAGCACTCCTCCTTTAGAAGTTAATAACAATTCAAGTGACTCAAACATTGGCGTAAATTCAAAGAAATTAAATGGAACTACAGAGTCTGTAAATGGCATCTCTGATGAAGTTGTTGAAAAGCTTATAGTAAATGGACCAATGGATCATCAGGAAGTACAGAATGGAAAATTATATGAGGAAAAAAGATTGCTAGACCTTAGAACACAGGTAAGTATGGTATGTTGTATTTTGTGGAACAAATACAGTATGATGCTTTTTTACTGTTTGTCTTACATTTCCTATAATGTACATACTGTAAGTGAGAATTTGATTGAGGGTTCAGAGACAGATTCCATGATTTTCACTGGTGGGTGAGGGTGGGCAAGGTTGGGGGCAGCCTTGCACACAATAGATACGATAACTATGAATTCCATTTGTATGGGGAACAAATTTAGAATATTCTTCTTTAGATTTGGGGGAGGGAGGTGGGTCAAGACTTACTAGACCCCTCCCCTGTGATAGATTTACTTCTGTACTGCAGAGTCGTGGTTAATTTACTAGGGCTACAATGATACAATTTCTCACGATACAATACATATCTCGATACAAGTGCCATGATACGATACACAATACAGTATATCATTACATACAACTGACAGGTGAAGAAGAGCTGCGACCATGCGTTTTGTCCGTGGGCACACAAGACTGTGTCAGCTGACAAGTAATTGGAACTGCGTATGCCTCTGTGCCGCCATCTTGAAAGATACGTGACCAGAAGTACAAAGCAAAGATGGAACTTCTTTTCCTTTTCCCAGGTCCCTTTGTTTAATAAATAGCATAAGCTTTGAAAGGGCTTGGACTTGGGCAAGGTCTCGTAATACATGTAGACAGTCATTTCTGAATGTTGAATTTTTTATTCATGAAAAAACACAATATCATAATATCGCGATATCTTGTCGTGATATCAATATTCATATTGTGACAAAAAATATCGCGATTCACTGGTGCATCAGTGTATCGTTGCAGCACTATAATTTACTGTAATAACTGTCAAATACTGTATATGTACCATTTGATGACTGTTTTAAAAATAACTGTATTTAGGTTCTTCACTTGGAGTCATCTCTAAGAGCCAAAGAAGATACAGTTGAGAATGAAATGTCCAATTTAAGCTCCAAGCTGAAGAAAACAAGAGAAGACACAAAACAAGAGGTATGAAATTCAGCATTTGACCCACGTGATGTATTCTCTCTATTCTGGGGTTTAATACATGTAGATAAGGGTTCTTTCCCCCAACAACATGCACTTTTTATTGTTTGCTTTGAGGGGAGGGGCTGTGGCCTCATGGTTAGTGTGCTCGTCTCTGGATGAAGTGGTCCGGGCTTGAGCCCTGGCTGGGGACATTGTGTTGTGTTCTTGGGCAAGACACTTTACTCTCACAGTGCCTCTCTCCACCCAAATTTATAAACGGGTAGCAGCGAACTTAATGGCGGGGGTAACCCTGCGATGGACTGGCATCCCATCCAGGGGGGAATAGAAATACTCCTAGTCACTTCATGCTAGTCAGAAACCGGGATAAGCTCTGCCGTGATGGGCCACTTGGCTCGTATGCAGACTTTTTTACCTTTGACGTCACATGACATCTATCAATGAAACTCTTTCTCACCTGAAGTCTCTGACTGGGCCATGATAAAAGACAGCAACAGTGTACTGTTACTCATGAATGTTTCAATTGATGACCGATATTTTCACGGACACTACCTTTATGTTTTCTAAATTAAATGTATTTTATATAACAAGTCACTTAACGCCTGGTCCCGCGGAAAACAATTACTGTAAGGTGTTTCTTTTGAGAGCACTCTCTCACTCAATCCTCTTCGTTCCTGTTGGAACATAGGTCATTGTTTTCTAGTGCCCACCACCTGACCCTATTTTTAGCAGTGTGTTTCACTTCCTGCCACATGAGCTGGTTTTTTCTTTCAACTCTGCCATTCTTGTGCATCTCCAGCTGTGCTGGGGTCTCCCTCTATTTCACTTCCCCTGTGGGTTCCACTCCATGGCCCTCTTGGCTATGTATCCATCTGGTCTCCTTAGTGTGTGGCCAATCCAACCCCAAGCTCTTTGTGTTATCTCCTGCTCTACTGGATGCTACCTTGCTTGTCTCCAAAGCTCCTCCTTGGGTATTCATGTAGGCCACCAAATCTGCAGGATTTTCCTGTTTTTGGGAGCAGTGGTCAATTTTGTGAAGATGGAGTGAATTTAGCTCAAGCCCTACAGACATGTTAGGTGCAAATGGTGACTGATTTCCGAAACAATGGGCACCAAAGGAGCAAGCTTCTGGAGGCATTCAGGGGGTGGGGCAGCATGCTCCCCCAGGAATTGTTTTGGATTTTAACTCCCTTTATAAGTCTCCCTTCCTGGGTTTCCGACTCATTCTGAAAAATCTGACTGATTGCTGCAAAAATTTTGAAACTGGTATGGATCTGTGCCTGCATGCGTGTTGCTTGCCTCTCTCATGGCTCTGTATTGTTGGTGCCACATGTATTAGTGAAGGGGTTACATTGTTTGTTGGTCTGCCAGTGCCTGCCTGCTGGCTGCATTTATGTGACAAGCTTAATTGCTGATAATGTTCTGCCAATAACATATTATTGTTGTAGATGGACAAATTGCAAAAGGAGTTAGAGGACAGGAAAAGACATTACATCACTGAAATGGAGAATATTGATAGAAGAAGAGAGGAACAGAAGTAAGAAAAAACATTGCTGCTGCATCACCCGGCAAATGCTATGAATAAGATCAAAATAATAAAATTTAATGAAGCGTTCTCTGGTAAAAAAAGAAAAAAAAATTAGAAATATGAGCTTTTGACAGCTGGTCTACTGTCTTGGATGGATAATTTATTGGATGTTTATTTAGTTATTTATAATTATAATCTCGTAAATTCTTTTAGTTGTTTACAGTAGTAGAAATAAACTGTTGTTGTTGTAAAAATTTGGGATAAAATGAAACTTTAAAAATTGGAACATCGAGAGTAATTCGCATGAATTAAAAATTCATGTAAAAAGGATGTTCGAAGGAATGCTAACAGTGCTAAAGTTAATGTTTGTTTAAAAGAATGTTGTATTGTCTCGGGAGTGGGCGTGAGTTGTTGTCAGCCTCAACAGTTTTGACCGTGTGCCATTATTCTCATGTATTTCTGGTGCGATTGTTTCCTTAGTCAATGATCGTAGCAGTTGTCAAAGCCAATTACATGATCAAATGCATGCTTTACAACGTTTGAACCGTGAACACATTGTTTTGTATTTTGGACACGTTCTTTTCTTTTGACGCGAAATAATCTTTTAGTTTTACTGATGTAATTCCATGGACATGATGCGAAACAAAAAGACCATTTAGTACCATTTGTCTGTAACACAACTAGAAAAATGTGTGTTGGAAATTTACTAATAAATACTCCGTACGCTTGCATAGTATGCACTGTACATATAGAAATGCAGCTCACGAGAAACTGTCTGAATTGTAATTCTTTTGTTTATAAGGAGAAAGTTTGAAGAGGAACTTGAGGAATTTAGAAATGAAAAGAAGCTAGAGGAGAGAAGGCAAAGATACTATGAACATGAGGTATGCCAGCCATTTTATAAAGCAAGATGTTTAAAATAAATCACATTAGAGGACGAGAAATTCATGTGGTTGAGTAACCTATCTGATGAGTTTTCCATCCTTAGCTTCGTATACGCAGTTACGCGCCATTTTGCTATTCCAAAGTGCCTCGTTTTATTCCTACTTCCAGTCTTATTGGACTGGTGTAGTTTTCGCCCGAAATTCGACCAGAAAATAGTCTGCGATAGCATCCGGGTCTTTCGGCTCTTGTTTTACGCTGTCTACACACTTGGGCGGGAAACTCGTTACCGACGGGAGACTGATCTTGGACGGGTTTCTTGTCTCCATGCCTCACTTTTGCGNGTGCACTAACCATGAGGCCACTGCACCTCCCACTCAGTGTTATAGTACTCCAAGATTATTGGATGCTTGTGCACCACACAATTCTAGGTCTCCACGTTCCTTTGTGCCTTGTGGGTTCCAATCCACTGAGAGGCACGCTAGGTCCCCCTCATCACACCTTAGTGTATGCCCAATCCATTTGCGATGTCTTCTGTTAATGGTGGTGTTGATAGGCTCTTGACCCGTTCTTAACTCGATACATAAATCTCTGTTGGTAATCACCTCTGTTGGTAATCACCTCAGGCCAATACACTCTCAGAATTCTCCTCAGACACTTGTTGATGAAAGTTTGTACTTTCTTTGTTTCTATATGCTCCTTCTGGAAAATGATTTCAGTCTTTGTTTCATGGCATCACTCCACTTTGTCTGTGAGTAGTGTGTTTCATGTCCTTATTAATTTAGTTGCCTGAGAGTAAGGCAGCTGACAATACTAGAGAAGAAAACAAATTCTCATCATAATCACTTGTTAAAAACACTGTGACAGCATCATAAGCTTGTGATTACTACAGTGAAAACATTTACTCTGCTTTGGTATCTTGTTTCTTATATTGCTTGTTTATGTTTTTGCAGTGTTCATCAGATTCAAATGTGGACACATTGTTGGAAGAGGCAGACAAAATTCAGAGCTCAAAAAATGGCTTTAAAAAGGTAATAGTTTGCACGTTTTTCATTTTGTAAGTTTTTTTTTTTAAATTGTGGCTAAATGTAGTTTAGGCAAAGTGTGAGTCAAGCCAATGCTGCCTCACAAGGTGACCATGCTCTGTGGGGTCTCACAGTGGTTTTGCAGGGATTAACATGTGTTTTGGTTGTCAGCTGAGAACGTGCAGTTTTTCTTGAGTGCCATTCGTGCCTGTAGCGTGCTTTTGCTCTGACACCTCCCTCCTTTTTGCTGGTGATGGTAAGTATTTGGGATGGTAATTATCTGTCAGTGTGACGGTGCCTGGTGGTTGCCACTCTCAGGGATGCCATGGATACCTGCATGCTCTGCTCGAGGCTCATATCTCAGGCACCTTTCGCAAGCTCATCAATTGGCTATGAGATAAAGTACAATCATGTTGTAGCCTTGAACTTGGCATGAAAAAATATTTTGGACAAAATCTGCCCTTGGAGGTCCTGTTAATAGGGCCAAGTTTTCATGGTCTGTTGGTGACCTTATTAATGGGGTTTTGCTGCAACACTTAATACATGGTTAGCATGAGATGTTGATACTACTGTATGGCCTTTTAAGAAGAAAGAGTTTCATTTTTGTAACAAATGAGTGACTTCTTTTTCTGATGCTCTCAAAATATACATGGTTAAAACATTTTCTGTCTGTTTCTATTGAGTTTTAAAACTTGTATGGAAGTTTGGGAGAACTTGAAAAAGCTGTTGGAACGTTCACCTACAGTTCATGATCACGTTCCGACAACATTTCTACAGTACATGTAGTTTTCCCAAACTTCCACTGTTTTTTTTATAGCTTGACCGAAATGGAGAAAATATTATATATTTCTTAAATGACAGCAGGTAAAATACTACTGGTAACATGTACATGTATGTACATATGTGTATATACATGTATATGCGTACAATGTACCTTCAAGTTCCAAATGTTAAACTGAACAATTTTGTATGGAAAAGATGAAAGAAATGATGAAAATGATGAAAAAAATCTTGGAGTACTATAACACTGATAATTAAAAGTACAGTGTGTACTGTACATGTAGCCACTGGATTTCTGTTTTCTTAGATTATGAAGCCACCATATTTCAGAACCTTGGTATCTTCTTATGATATTGTCCTGAAATTTTGTTTCTCACTGGCTCAGTACAGTGTAGTTACTCATTTTTGGAATTTTTTTAAAGTAGTAGTGGGACTTCAGATAGTAATTGTCACACTCTACTTTGTTGAATAGAATGCACCAGCCAAGAAGCAAGTTCGTTTTAACATGGAAAGAAATAAAGAACACTTTTACAGTTATGCTCAGGGATCAGATGACGACATTTCTTGTGACCTTATGAGCAATGTTAATTTTGTGGATTACAAATTTAATGATAACAGTATGTATGAGAATGATGAGGATGATGATGATGATGATGATGAGGACGATGAGGACTCTGAAGAAGACGAGGAAGATGAAGAAGACTATTCAGACCACACTGATCGGGAGTCCAGTGAAGATGATTCTAGAGTGGACAAATTTGGATATTTAGTTGATAAGAGCACTCCTCCTTTAGAAGTTAATAACAATTCAAGTGACTCAAACATTGGCGTAAATTCAAAGAAATTAAATGGAACTACAGAGTCTGTAAATGGCATCTCTGATGAAGTTGTTGAAAAGCTTATAGTAAATGGACCAATGGATCATCAGGAAGTACAGAATGGAAAATTATATGAGGAAAAAAGATTGCTAGACCTTAGAACACAGGTAAGTATGGTATGTTGTATTTTGTGGAACAAATACAGTATGATGCTTTTTTACTGTTTGTCTTACATTTCCTATAATGTACATACTGTAAGTGAGAATTTGATTGAGGGTTCAGAGTCAGATTCCATGATTTTCACTGGTGGGTGAGGGTGGGGCAAGGTTGGGGGCAGCCTTGCACACAATAGATACGATAACTATGAATTCCATTTGTATGGGGAACAAATTTAGAATATTCTTCTTTAGATTTGGGGGAGGGAGGTGGGTCAAGACTTACTAGACCCCTCCCCTGTGATAGATTTACTTCTGTACTGCAGAGTCGTGGTTAATTTACTAGGGCTACAATGATACAATTTCTCACGATACAATACATATCTCGATACAAGTGCCATGATACGATACACAATACAGTATATCATTACATACAACTGACAGGTGAAGAAGAGCTGCGACCATGCGTTTTGTCCGTGGGCACACAAGACTGTGTCAGCTGACAAGTAATTGGAACTGCATATGCCTCTGTGCCGCCATCTTGAAAGATACGTGACCAGAAGTACAAAGCAAAGATGGAACTTCTTTTCCTTTTCCCAGGTCCCTTTGTTTAATAAATAGCATAAGCTTTGAAAGGGCTTGGACTTGGGCAAGGTCTCGTAATACATGTAGACAGTCATTTCTGAATGTTGAATTTTTTATTCATGAAAAAACACAATATCATAATATCGCGATATCTTGTCGTGATATCAATATTCATATTGTGACAAAAAATATCGCGATTCACTGGTGCATCAGTGTATCGTTGCAGCACTATAATTTACTGTAATAACTGTCAAATACTGTATATGTACCATTTGATGACTGTTTTAAAAATAACTGTATTTAGGTTCTTCACTTGGAGTCATCTCTAAGAGCCAAAGAAGATACAGTTGAGAATGAAATGTCCAATTTAAGCTCCAAGCTGAAGAAAACAAGAGAAGACACAAAACAAGAGGTATGAAATTCAGCATTTGACCCACGTGATGTATTCTCTCTATTCTGGGGTTTAATACATGTAGATAAGGGTTCTTTCCCCCAACAACATGCACTTTTTATTGTTTGCTTTGAGGGGAGGGGCTGTGGCCTCATGGTTAGTGTGCTCGTCTCTGGATGAAGTGGTCCGGGCTTGAGCCCTGGCTGGGGACATTGTGTTGTGTTCTTGGGCAAGACACTTTACTCTCACAGTGCCTCTCTCCACCCAAATTTATAAACGGGTAGCAGCGAACTTAATGGCGGGGGTAACCCTGCGATGGACTGGCATCCCATCCAGGGGGGAATAGAAATACTCCTAGTCACTTCATGCTAGTCAGAAACCGGGATAAGCTCTGCCGTGATGGGCCACTTGGCTCGTATGCAGACTTTTTTACCTTTGACGTCACATGACATCTATCAATGAAACTCTTTCTCACCTGAAGTCTCTGACTGGGCCATGATAAAAGACAGCAACAGTGTACTGTTACTCATGAATGTTTCAATTGATGACCGATATTTTCACGGACACTACCTTTATGTTTTCTAAATTAAATGTATTTTATATAACAAGTCACTTAACGCCTGGTCCCGCGGAAAACAATTACTGTAAGGTGTTTCTTTTGAGAGCACTCTCTCACTCAATCCTCTTCGTTCCTGTTGGAACATAGGTCATTGTTTTCTAGTGCCCACCACCTGACCCTATTTTTAGCAGTGTGTTTCACTTCCTGCCACATGAGCTGGTTTTTTCTTTCAACTCTGCCATTCTTGTGCATCTCCAGCTGTGCTGGGGTCTCCCTCTATTTCACTTCCCCTGTGGGTTCCACTCCATGGCCCTCTTGGCTATGTATCCATCTGGTCTCCTTAGTGTGTGGCCAATCCAACCCCAAGCTCTTTGTGTTATCTCCTGCTCTACTGGATGCTACCTTGCTTGTCTCCAAAGCTCCTCCTTGGGTATTCATGTAGGCCACCAAATCTGCAGGATTTTCCTGTTTTTGGGAGCAGTGGTCAATTTTGTGAAGATGGAGTGAATTTAGCTCAAGCCCTACAGACATGTTAGGTGCAAATGGTGACTGATTTCCGAAACAATGGGCACCAAAGGAGCAAGCTTCTGGAGGCATTCAGGGGGTGGGGCAGCATGCTCCCCCAGGAATTGTTTTGGATTTTAACTCCCTTTATAAGTCTCCCTTCCTGGGTTTCCGACTCATTCTGAAAAATCTGACTGATTGCTGCAAAAATTTTGAAACTGGTATGGATCTGTGCCTGCATGCGTGTTGCTTGCCTCTCTCATGGCTCTGTATTGTTGGTGCCACATGTATTAGTGAAGGGGTTACATTGTTTGTTGGTCTGCCAGTGCCTGCCTGCTGGCTGCATTTATGTGACAAGCTTAATTGCTGATAATGTTCTGCCAATAACATATTATTGTTGTAGATGGACAAATTGCAAAAGGAGTTAGAGGACAGGAAAAGACATTACATCACTGAAATGGAGAATATTGATAGAAGAAGAGAGGAACAGAAGTAAGAAAAAACATTGCTGCTGCATCACCCGGCAAATGCTATGAATAAGATCAAAATAATAAAATTTAATGAAGCGTTCTCTGGTAAAAAAAGAAAAAAAAATTAGAAATATGAGCTTTTGACAGCTGGTCTACTGTCTTGGATGGATAATTTATTGGATGTTTATTTAGTTATTTATAATTATAATCTCGTAAATTCTTTTAGTTGTTTACAGTAGTAGAAATAAACTGTTGTTGTTGTAAAAATTTGGGATAAAATGAAACTTTAAAAATTGGAACATCGAGAGTAATTCGCATGAATTAAAAATTCATGTAAAAAGGATGTTCGAAGGAATGCTAACAGTGCTAAAGTTAATGTTTGTTTAAAAGAATGTTGTATTGTCTCGGGAGTGGGCGTGAGTTGTTGTCAGCCTCAACAGTTTTGACCGTGTGCCATTATTCTCATGTATTTCTGGTGCGATTGTTTCCTTAGTCAATGATCGTAGCAGTTGTCAAAGCCAATTACATGATCAAATGCATGCTTTACAACGTTTGAACCGTGAACACATTGTTTTGTATTTTGGACACGTTCTTTTCTTTTGACGCGAAATAATCTTTTAGTTTTACTGATGTAATTCCATGGACATGATGCGAAACAAAAAGACCATTTAGTACCATTTGTCTGTAACACAACTAGAAAAATGTGTGTTGGAAATTTACTAATAAATACTCCGTACGCTTGCATAGTATGCACTGTACATATAGAAATGCAGCTCACGAGAAACTGTCTGAATTGTAATTCTTTTGTTTATAAGGAGAAAGTTTGAAGAGGAACTTGAGGAATTTAGAAATGAAAAGAAGCTAGAGGAGAGAAGGCAAAGATACTATGAACATGAGGTATGCCAGCCATTTTATAAAGCAAGATGTTTAAAATAAATCACATTAGAGGACGAGAAATTCATGTGGTTGAGTAACCTATCTGATGAGTTTTCCATCCTTAGCTTCGTATACGCAGTTACGCGCCATTTTGCTATTCCAAATTGCCTTGCTTTATTCCTACTTCCAGTCTTATTGGACTGGTGTAGTTTTCGCCCGAAATTCGACCAGAAAATAGTCTGTGATAGCATCCGGGTCTTTCGGCTCTTGTTTTACGCTGTCTACACATTTCGGCAGGAAACTCGTTACCGACGGGAGACTGATCTTGGACGGGTTTCTTGTCTCCATTCCTCACTTTTGCGGTATACAGTATCTTCTTGAATTTTTTTTTTCTCAAACCTTCACATTGAATAAATCTGCTCGTACAATCCAATCCAGTAAACAAAATGGTGTAAGAGCAATTCGGGAAACTTTCTTTCGGCTGTTTCCCTGTTGTCATTTGTACAAGTCCAAGACCTACACAGTAGTCAATTTTAGTTCCAATTATCTTTGTTGTTTGTTTATTAAGAAAATCTGTTGCACCTCGCGCTAAAAAAACCCCTGTCCAGTATGCTACACAAAGTGATTTTAGCGGCCATTAATGTTTGGAAACTGCTCGTACATGTACATACATGTTGGTTAGTAGAATGGTTTACTATTGATGTGAAGTTTATATGAAATAATTCATATATGAACTGCGGTTGTAGATG